CCTTCCAGGTGCAGAACTTTGAGTTCCCTTTACGAAAGTCTTGAACGACCAAAATCTCAAACTCAACAAACGGATGGAAAAGACACTAATATGAGACAATGCTTCCATTTTACATTTTTAGGTTTTATTTCTAGGTTTTCCCAGAACACTCAGTCTTTTAGAAATTTCCAAAACATATTATTTTCAAATCATATCATTTCTTTTGTTTAGTTATCATGAACTTCCTCGGATCTTTGTTGAAAGCTTGGTCAAAAGTTGGGATTTGAAATATTTTAACAGTGTCGGATTATAAGCATCAATTGTTTCTTCTCTCTCTATCTCTCTCTTTTTTGTTTTTAAATTTTACTTTAAATCGACAATTTCCATTCATTTATGTAAATTGCTGTTATTATTTTTATTTTTTCACTTTACTTTTTCACTGACCAGGGGAATGTCTTTCACAAATGAGGATGGGAGTGAGGGACAGGATGATGTTGCTAAGAAGAGATGCCAATATGAGTGGGACGAAAGATCAAGAGACTGTAGAATTCTTGAAGAAAAGGAACATCCACGTAGAGAAAATGCCAAGTACGAAATAAACTGTCTCTATGACGAGAAAAGGAAGAGTTCTCATTCTTCTAAAGATGGAATGATAAATAGACTCAATCACAGATTAAAGTTGGACATAGAAGGTTTGCCTTGCAGCACCAAATCACTGACTAAGGAGAGGTCTGGACATCAGCATAGCTGTTTCAGGGAAGTTGGTGGGGGCACAGGTGAATGTTGGAGTCGTTCTAGCTCGAATAACCATAAAAGATGCAAAGAGAAGGAAGCCAAAATGAATACAGTTGAGGTCGACGTGAAGCGACATACTCAGAAATTGTTGCAAAAAGAGACTGGTTTCATATCAAGATGTTCTAAGCGTAATGAGCTGACTCATGATCATCCGCGAATGGTCGGTAGGCCAAATGATAATCATGAAGAATGCAATCATAAATATAAACAAAAAAGGTTTGTGAAAAACTACAGATCTGAATTTTAAGGTAAAAATGTATAGGTACAGCATGTTACATATTTTTGGCGTTCTATCTTCTTTAGCTACATAACCGTGTCAGCATACCATGGTTTACTATTAGAATTTATTATACTTTCTGTTCAACATCCTTAGACTAGCAAGTCTCGGATTGAGTGTGGTGTGTGTGTGTGTTTTCTTTTTAATTTTATTTATTGAATATATTAACTCTAATGTGAACTTGTTGGTCTTGTTTAATAACCAGATATTGGTGTTTGGATGGCCTTTTGACAAGCTAATGTAATAGTGTGACTAACTTTTCTTGACCTTTTTAGTTTGGAGTGTGGAAGCTAGCAAACAAGTTCATAATTCATGGAGCAACGGATGTTAAGCTATGCCAAATTTTTGTAAGCAGAGATTGTTGAAGCAGTTGAAGGTACGTTTCTTATGGATAGATTGAATGCCATCCTGTGACTTGCATCTTCTTAAATAATGGTTTTATATATATAATATATACACACACATACTTTATTATTATTTTTCTCTCTTTAAAGTAAATAATGATTTTATATTGTTTTTAAATAAAGTTATTTTAATATTTTCAGGAATTGGAGATTTTTCCTTATAAAAAAAGGAATAGAAGAGTTTTTCCTTTTTTTTTTGTTGAAAATTATAGAAGGTTACTTAGAAAGGAAAATCTGACATTAGGGTGAGTAGTTATTTTTAGTAGTAAAACGTACTTAATGATAATAAATCCATGTTTATAATTAATTTGTAATTTGATGACAGTAAAAGTACTTAGCCAGCTGTATGATTGATTAATTAAAACTTGACCTAGTTAAATTAATGGTTTATTGTTAATAATTTGATTTACTTAATCTAAATATGCCTCATGCTATATCTTAGTTACAATATTACTTTTTGAGTTATTTTTAATTTTAAAATTCACTTTTTTTTAGTTCAATTTTAAAATTCCCTTGTTACAGTATGAATTCTAATAATGCCCACAAGCTCTGGTAATAAATTTGGAGTAGAACTAAATTCCTTAAATAACATTTGGTGACTTGTTTGTCTTTTTCTTTTTTCTTTTAATTTAAAATTATGGTTTTAAAGATTAAGCTTCTTTATTTAATTTATAAAAAGAAATGTTATATTTGATGCATATTTGAAATGACTTTTGAGAAAAGTATTTTTGTAAATAAAAATATTTCTCTATAAACATTTTCTTTTGGAAGAGTTACTAGTTTAGAATGTGTTTAGTATAGTTTTCTAAGTAAATTTAGATGATTAAGAGTGATTTTTGAAGAAATTTATAGTGTTTCGTAATAAATAAAAGACATTTTAAAAAAATCAAAATCGTTTAAAAACACTTGAAGAGCTCGAGAAATAATTATTCAGAAAATGATTTTAAAGTGATGAGTCTAAGTGACTCGATTATCTAAAAAAAGTGCTTAAATTAAAAGACATACTAAATTCACCCTTAAAATCACTCTTCAAAATGGTGACTCGGAACTTGTTTAGTCACTTGTTTGTATGAGTTATTCTGTCGAAATAAATTTCTAGTTTCTTACCTCAATTTGTATATTGTTTGTCCATGCATTTTCTTTAAAGAATCTTGCTTATTCTTTAACTGATTAACATGAATTTTTTTTACTCTATTAAAAATTTGAAAATTTGACAACTATTAATTAATTTTTTTAGAGAAAAAGAAAAATATATATTTTTAATATATTAATATTATTATTACTATTATTCATTTTATTTTATTTTTTGCATTAAATTGTCCTATTGTAAAAAATTAGGAGTCTTTTTCTGATCGGTTAAGAGGTGAGTATTATTATTATTATTTTTATTAATGATTAAATACTCCACTCCTACTTTGAAAATGCAAGGATCAGGTCTTTAGGATCTGGAGGAGTCCGTTAACTTTTAATTTTGACGGTGGGTCACTGGTCAATGTTGAATAGTATATCATCAATAATTTGAAATTTAACATTTGTGTTTATTTAGTTTTCAAATTTTAATATGTCTTAATTGTGTCTTTCAACTTTTAATTTTGATTTTCATAAGTTCTTACTTTTATCAACATTGTATGTTGAGTGTTTAAGTGAAACCTTAATTAAAATAATAGATAATCATTCAAAACAAACAATGGCCGATTTGAGCATAGTTTGTGGTTAAGGCATCTATTTCTAATAAAAAATCGTGAGTTTGAAATCTCTATCCTCACATGTTGTACTTATTAAAAAAGAAAGAAAGAAGATAACAACATAACAATGGATAAAATAAGATAAACAGAGGGAAATGATATACTGTTTTTTTTTTCCTTTTTAGTATAACATATGGGTTTAGTATAACATATGAGGCGTAAGCTCATAACATTTTTGTAGGAGACGTGTCTTAACCAGATTGACAGAAGAACGTATAATGTAAGATTAATAAAACTACCCCATCATATGTTAGTTTTGTTAGCGTTAAACCATTGCATCATATTTGTGTGTGGGTTCTTGAGGATTGAAGTTCCCTTTGAACTTAAAAGGTTAAATAGAAATTAGTTTCAAACTGGAGTGATTAAAGGTTAAATATATATTATAGTCTACTAATGTTTGAAAGCATTTTCAATTTAGTATATAATATTTATAAACTTTCGAATTAGTTTAGGTTCTAACATTTTACAATTGATAAATGTTAAAACTGACCAATAAAAAACTTACACGGCATGATTCTTGCAAATTTAAAAGAGAAAAAATGACTCCCTAAAGAATAAAACTTGAAATTTCTACATTTTTCTTTTTTAAATATGGAAGAGGACTTTATATATATATATATATATAGACAGAAATATATTATATACGTATACAATGTATGAGTTGAGGGCAAAAGTAAGATTTAAAATATTTACTACAATATTATAATTATGAATTTTTTTAATAAAAATAAGAACAATATTATACATTATAAAATATTATATTTAAAGTTGTATACTATTTTTAATAATTTAAATAATTAAAATTAAAATCCATATATCTATTCATAAATTTTCAAACTCAACTAAAACAATAATTTTATTATATATTATAATTTTATTTTTTTATTATTATTTTTTGAAAGAAATATTTTATTTTTATTAGTACAAGAACACGCCACCACCATAGTTTCAAATTCTTAAATTCAACATAATTTTTGAATTTGCCATAAAATAGATACTTGAAACATGGAATATAACTCGTTTTTATTTGTTTCTGGATTCATATTTTTGTCAGTCCATTAACCAAGCCAAACACACTTAAGTTTTTCTGACATTCGATAATGTTAGGAATACACATTTATCTCATTTATTAATTATTAAATATATCATAATAAACTCTCACCAAATTTTATTTATTTATTTATTTTTACCAATTTCTTATAAACGAATTTTGAAATATAATACTCTCAATAAACACGTTTTCATCATTTCTTCGCACGGTTTAGTGCCTCAGTTCTGAAAAGAATTCACTTTTTCACCACATTTACTTTAACGTTAAGGAGTTTAAATTCTTGAAGAATGTAGCACCATTATCTTTTTTTCACGTTTTCTCAATGTTTTTTTTTCTTTTTAATTTCTTTCAACCATCTCCTTGTTTTTAAAATGAAGTTCTTGGAGAACCCACCTGATTGGTCATGAAGTCCCTATCCAAGATTCATCAATGGGACTTCATGACCAATCCAGGTGGGACCTTGATGGGATAAACGTGGTCGAATCATCACTAGAATTGTAGTTAGAATACATCAAGACTCGATGCAAATCACATTCGGCCTATGCTTGTGTGCCATTATTCTTAGCGACAAACCTAGTTAAAGTGGTGATAAATCTCTTCGATAAAATGTGTCCTATGGAAAGTCTATTGATTCCCAATCTCCAGTAAAAAAAAAAAAAAAAGAAATTCATTTATAATCCTCTCTCAGTTGGCTTAATGGATCCGTCTAATTCAAAATGATGATCGAAATTAAAATCAGGCTAAGTTCTAATTTTAGAAAATGTTAAACCCGTCTCTTCCAAATACATAATCAAAATGGATTTATCCGCTCTTTGGAGAAAAACCAACCTAAAACATAAACCTTAAACTAACTCAAAACTAGAAACCAACCACGCTACCATTCATTTTTCAAAAGTCTAAAGGGAGGGGCATAGAAATCTTTACCTCCCAGTTTGATTTCCTAACGAGGTTTGCTGGTTCTTTTGGAGAAATCAATGTTTGTCTCGTTCTAAGAGTGTATGAACAAGTTTTTTGATATAGGCTCGAGATTAATTAACACGTCATTTTTTAGTACAATATATATGTCAATTACTGTTGAGTTATATACTCACTTTGACATTATAATTAACGCATCATTGTTACCCTTAAATTGTATATTTTTTAACGCGGAGATATTATAGTAATTTTACTACTATATATATAAACTAAAAAAGATCAGAAAAACATTATTTCAGTCAAGAGAAGTAATAATATTGAGATGTTCATGGCGGTAAATAAGTGATACTTACTTGCCACATTTGAAAAATCAACTAAAAAATAAAAAATATATATATATTTTTTTAAATATCTGTGAGTTTTTTATTGGTGTTAAGTATAGGAAGGTATTTGCTATATACATATAAATGCCTCTGCATTTTATTTGTTTAAAAGGGGTCAGTTACCTTGTAATCCAATTTTTGTTGGGTTATTTTATTTTTGCAATTTCCCTTAATTAACTTATCTGTGTTCGCCCAGCTTCAAACAATTGTGCGGTGATTGGAGCAACAGAGCCGCCTAATTCATTTATTATAAGGTTTCCTTCTCTGCTTTTAATTTGGTAATACACAATCCGCAGCGCGCGCGCAGTCTGGTGGCCGCCGAGTATTCTATTTTCTACTCCGTTCCGGCGATGCGGCCACGTGGCCCCCGGCGATACTTCGAGATCTTATTGGGTGGTGGAGGCTTTACTCGCCGTTCAATGACTAATCGGCCGCTGGCCCCGAGGAATATATTGTTGTACTTCTGTTAATTTAATGAATTGCATTTCTCAGGTCATTATCGTCGCTATCCCAATCCTCCACTGAATCATTTTTCATTTTATATTTCTTCTACTGATAATATTCATTTTTTGTGTTGGGGTCGGTTTCCCTGATCTCCAAGAGACCAACACATTTTGGGATATATATTTTTTAGGATTGAAGTCAAAGGTACACACGTGGCCCTCTTGCTTTGAGACACGTGCTGAGTTTCGACTTAAATACCTCGAGGACGAGGAGGAGCTAGTTAAATTTGTTTTCCCAGCAACCTTATTTGATTCCGTTCAATATAAATTTGGACTAATTACCCACTTAAGTTTCGGTGTGTACATAATTGAACAAGTAGAGTGTATGCATGAGAGAACACTACACCGATGCAAAATTCTATTATAGGTCGTTAGTGCAACACGGATTTGGAGTGATCCACCCACCTTAGTTCGGTTCTTGCATAACAATATTAATTAATGAGTATTAAATATTAGTTATAGGTATCAATCGCAACAATTATTAGTTTTTTAATTAAGACAAATACTAGAAGGGTATTGAGAGGAATTGAACCGACCATTCACCATGGACACTTGAAAGTTATATGAAGTTCGTTAGTTGAGCTACTTTGAACTTTGTTTGTTAGTTGAGCTACCATGAATGAATAACAAGTGTTACTTATCTCTTGAGACTTTAATCTTCATGTAAATTATTAGTTGCGTTTGGTTCTGATAGATTATTATTGTTATTATTATTTTCTTTTTGTGAGTTATTAGGAAATGAATTCAAACACTAAATCTCTTTTGGTTGTTTATATATGTTTTATTTTTTAACTAATTAAACTCAATTTAGGTCGGCATCGATACTTTTCTTCTTACTCCTAGAAGTCATGTTTTTTACTTGCAATTTGGTCCACTTTTAGAGTACTCACATGAACTTCTTTTTAATACAACATATTGAGGTAGGGGATTCGAACTCTCAACCTCATAGTTGGATAAATGTACCTTAACCCATCAAACTCACGTAAACTATATCTTAATCTTTTGTTTTTCAAGTAATCATCTTTAAGACCTCGTTATCTATAGGGTATGTGAGAATACACAATTTAAATTTACCATATTTAGAAAACTTATTGATTAATGTCTTAATTAACTAGGTAAACTAAATTCACTTAAATGTATTTCTGAAATCTAAACAGAAACAAACCAAGGAAATTATTTGCACACAGATTGAATTTATCAAAAACTTCACACCATTTAATTTACTTTTACGTTAACATCACAAAATCTTTTTTTTTT